CGTCGAAATTATAAATGAATAAGTCAACCTGGACACTTCAGATTCTACGTCAGCTAGGTCATAGCCTAGGTACGATACGGCTCTGTTTTGTTAACGATAACCTATCCATGCGTAAACACTAGAGGAAATTAAGCGTGCCCCTATTTTTACTCAACGCCAGTGTAATCATATATAGTTAATACCTGATATCATATCGGATAGGATGTTAGATATCCTTGAATATCTAAGATATTTAACTATAAGATTAAAGATGTGATGGCAAGTGTTACCGGCCTAACCCGACCAGGCTGTGTGAGTAACGTCAATATACACATAACAATAGGGTATTCTAACCCTAGCAATACCGTTTCTTGGAGCTAGTGTTACCCTAGATACAATAAACCCTACGCTTGTTGGGTTACATTGTTGTGTCTAGTGTTACTCTTGTTAGGTGCCATCGACATCGGCAAGGCCCCCTTCTATACCAACAATGTTATGCAATGCAGTTTGGCAGCGCTTTGATGTGTAGTAACACTCATGTGCCCCTGATCATATGCTGTTAGTAGAGCTGATATGGTCTATGTCTCCCTGGGTACTGCCGGAACGTACCCTGGTAACTATCTGATATGGTTAGGGTTAGGGAGTAGGCGTAGGCGTAGGTGACATATATGTACCTGAGGTAACTATCTGATATGGTTAGGGTTAGGGAGTAGGCGTAGGTGACTCCCTAGACTCGTTAGTGGAGTAGGCGAGATACGGTCGGGCATATTAGATAGTACCAGGGTACGTTCCAGCAGTACCCAGGGAGACATAGACCTTGGCAGCGTTAGTAGACTGAATGTTGCCCGCTCCCGTTATGGTCTAGTGAACGCACATACATAGTCTAAGATCCCATTGAAGTGTTTCATTGTTTGGAATTCAGTCACGATAAGTGACAGTGTCCCACCGACCCCAATGATATGCTGCTCTGCTACCTAGTGAACAAGTAGGACTAGCAAGGATTTCCTATCTTACACCCTCACTCTTGATTGCAAGTAAATGAAAAACCACATGTAAAAAACTCCATTTCAATTCCTTGACAAATTCTGCATTGTATAAAATAGACAATGCTAACCAATGGTAACTTGCTGTCTTCAAGAAGTTGTGTGAACAACAAGCATTTTGTCTGGTTCTCAAGGTGTGCCTGTGTCAGTCATTTCACAATGCTCCATGATTAGTGGAGCCAGTCAGATATGCTAGTGTGGAAGTGATGCTTTTAGACAGAATCGCGAAAAGGACTCGCGATGTCGAATTTGGGGGGTCAAGGGTCAAAGGTCAAGATGTGTCAATGGAGGTGGAATATTTCCCCCTTAACTTAAGGTATAAGAGGACATACAGAATTGCGGCATAAATCTCAACGGCTTGACCTACGCTCGTAATATTCGATGTATAGTGTGATGGGGAGGAAACCCATCACCAGTGCGAAATTGGAGGTCACAGCAGGCTTTCATTTTTAAGGGGCGCGATCGCGAATCGAATAGAATCGAAGCTTGTAGAATCGCATGATTGTCCGTCCGTCCATGCGTCTGTCAACAGTTGGGCACAAATCTTAACCGCTCAACGTACGGTCTTGATATTCGGGACGTCGGGGAGGGGGGGGGTCGCGAAAAGGTATAGGAGGAAATAGGGAATTGCGGCACAAATCTCAACGGCTTGACCTACGCTCTTAATATTCGATGTATAGTGTGATGGGGAGGAAACCCATTACCAGTGCGAAATTGGAGGTAACAAGAGCAGTGGGGGAAAGGTCAGATATCAGACATTTTCTGAGGACATGGTCTAACGGACCGAGTGCTAAACTTTTTTGTTTCAGCGCTGACCTACCGTTTTTATCACTTTATTGAAAGGACCATGAAATGTACTTTCCGCTGATGTGCGAACAGTAAGTGTCTGATAACCTTTTGACCTTCAAGAGGGTTAAACATGGATTTGTTGACTGTTAACAAAGGACTGAACTGCATTTGCTATTAGAGCCCCCTCCACCCGCCCCTCCCACCACCCTCCCACCACCACCACTACGCTCGCGCTCGACGCATATCCATGATAACATAATATAGCAAAGTCATTAAAGTTACACAGCTGTATCTTTATTACTGCACTACTGGTATAGCAAAGCCTATCATAAATTTTAGATTGTATTAGTAGTATCCTAGATATATGCTCTGAGCGCGCACGCTGTGACGGGAGGGCGCACTTGATTCGGTTGCTAGTGAGTTTATCAGAAGAATACCTGGCTGCAGTACACGTCAGTTGAGCGCTGTCGCTCTGCGGCACTTGTTGTGTTTACAGATGACTTCATTATCGGCATGTTGGAGGTAGAAACTCGGAAGTTCACTTGACCTGTGTGTTTTATCACACGTAAACGACAACTAGAGGTCATCTGGATGATCTGGCGATCCGCACTTCACCATGAATCGTCCAAATTCTCGGCCGAATCCGGTGGACGATACTGGCATTTGGCATATAGCCTCAAAGCTGCACCTCTACCCCCTAATCAATGAAACAATCACCGAGGCATTACCAACCGATGGACAAGAGCAAGGTACAGTAGTAAAGCTTTAGTAGGAGTAGAATTTGAAATCACGGCCGCACGATTGAAAGTAGCGTGCACCACCCGACACGACTGTCAACGACCGAGTTTCTTTCTTGTTTTGAGCTATGTTTTTTTCTGTCACAGACCTCGCAAGCGGGGCCGGTTCTTCCCCTGACGACCGAGCTGCCGGCGGCGGCGTGGGCATGCTGTTGTCGACGCTAGCGCGAGTCGTCTCTAACGAGGGGAACGCGGAGCGCCAATCCACCGATCCGGAATCCTTCAACCGCTCCGTAGCGAGAGGCGGCGGTGGCGGCGGCCTCGACACGCTGGTGCGGTTCACCCACGTCCTGTCCGCATCCACTCGCATCCTGCCCGGCGGTTTTTCCGGGACGGAAAACGACGATGACGCGACCACCGGCGAGCCGAGAGGCGTCGGCTCGTCACGACCCGGCGGCGGAAGTTTCCTCTACTTGCCGCTAGGTGGCGCGCTGAACACCGCGCTGGAGAACGCGTCGGCGGCGACAAACTTCTCAACCGCGCCGGAGTGGAACGTGACGGCGATGAATCTGACATACGGCGACGACGGCGGGGTCGACGCGGGCGCCGACCTTTCGCGCGCTTCTAAGGTCGTTCTAACGATCGTCGCCGCGCTGATGGTGATCTCCGGCACGCTCGGCAACACCGTCGTCGTGGCGATCGTGTGCCGGCGTCCCGCGATGCGCTCCGCCATCAACCTGCTGCTCGCCTCGATGGCGCTCTCTCACATCCTCCTCTCCGCCGTCTGCCTGCCGCTGGCGTCGGTCGCCGTGGCGACGGGCGCGTGGCGGCTCGGGGCGACAGCGTGCGCGGCGCACGCGGCGCTGCGCACGACGCTCGCCGCCGTTGCTGTGGCGATCCTCGTCGCGATCAGCATCGACCGCTACCTCATCATCGTGCGCCGCAAGGAGGTGCTGACGCCGCGCCGCGCGATGGCCATCATCGCGTGCGCGTGGCTCCTCGCCGCTCTGCTCGCAATCCTGCCCGCGATCGGCGCCGCGGGGGGCTCGGCAGGGGCCGGCGGGAGCTCGGAGTGCCTGCCCGCGGGCGGCGGCTGGCCGCCGGGCGTCGGCTTCTACCTGTACCTGTACGCGTCGCTGACGTTCCTGCTGCCGTTCGTCACGATGCTGTTCTGCTACGCGTGCATCGTGCGCACGGTGCGGCGCAGGTTCACGCGCGTGCACGCCGCGCCGGCACCCCGCGGAGTCGTCGTCGCCGCGTCGTCCGCGCGGCAGCAACGACCGCTCGACATGAGCTTCAAGCGGCGCGCGTTCACGACGATCCTCGTCCTCTTCCTGCTCTTCTCCGTCTGCTGGCTGCCGTACACCGTCTGCTGCCTCGCGCACGTCACTGCGGCGACAGCGCGCGTCGTCGCGGTGATGCTCAGCTACGGCAACGCGGCGGCGGCGCCGCTCGTCTACGCGTGCCGCATCCACAAGTTCCAGGAGACGTGCCGCGAGCTGCTGCCACGGCGGTGGCGGCGGCACCCCCGCGGTGCTCCGCCGCCGGCGGCTGAGGGACGGCGCGTCAACCCAGCGACGGCGTACGAGATCAATGGCGGCTGCAAGCAGTCGGCCGTGTGAGAGAGAGACGGACGCGGGGAGGCGAGCGTGCGGGGGCGGGAGGTGGGGTTTCTACGTCCGTGTGGTGCCGTGCGATCTGGTTCAGCTTTCTAGTTTAATTGGTTCGTTTGGTTTGTGATTTTATTTGGTTGGTTTAGTTGGATAGCTTAATGTTTCAGTTTAGCAAGTTGTATTAATCGGTTAGTTTAGTTGGGTTAGCTTAATTGGTTTAACTAGTCAGCACTTGTTAGTTTAGCTAGTAAGCTTGCCAGTTAGCTCAATTAATCTGCCTAGCTCAAGTAACACCCTCACTGTATATTGGTTAGAGATAATATTATATTCAAAAGGGTATGCCAAGATAAATTGCTGGTTTTTAGTGTGTTTTTAGCTAAAAATTGACTATTAACATTTTTTTAAATTGAGATGAAGGGGATTTAAACATAATTGCGATGTAGTTAGAATAGTCGATCTCTACTACATACTATAGTATGCAACATTAGTATCATATCAACTGGATATTATGGATATTATTAACAGTAATTTTGTTTCTATTGTTATATTATTTATATTTGTTTGGATAACTTTTGAAAAAAATGTTTAAGAACGCAGTCAATGATAATTATTACTGTTATTAGTTTTTGACCAATATATTTTGTAAAGACGTACAAATCTGTGTTTGGTAAAATTGTCACGTATGTAAGCCGTTTTCTGATGCCAAGGTATATTTTTTGAATGCTTTTGTACTGTGATTAGCTAGGTTTACAATTATTTATTACATATGGAGAATGAATTTCGACATGTATATTTAGACATTGTTGTCATGGTGGTAATGTATTATAGTGATCGTGAAATAGTTTTTAAATCGTACTTTACATTGTTTACTATTTGTCTCTTTTTGGTATTATCCGAATTGTGTTTCAAGTATTGCACTTACGTTGGCTGTAGTTTTCAAACGTGCTCATGCAATCAAATGCCACTCAATCATTGTTAATTCGTTGCCAATGCTTAGCCTGCACTGTGAAAATTAGATCTGCTCCATGCCTGATATATATAAAATCTTTATTTATACAGAAATCTTTTAATTGTTATGTAATTTATTTAATTAGTTTGCTTTCAATACACACGCATTGATGAATTACATTAGAAGCCGTGATTTCAGTGATAATTGTGGATTATGTTAAACAAGTGCCGCAGAGCGACAGCGCTCAACTGACGTGTACTGTAGCCAGGTATTCTTCTGATAAACTCACTGGCAACCGAATCAAGTGCGCCCTCCTGCCACCTCGTTCGCGCTCAGAGCATATATCTAGGATACTACTAATACAGATCTAAAATCTATGATAGGCTTTGCTATACCTACTGGTAGTACAGTAATAAAGATACAGCTGTGTAACTTTAATGACTTCGCTATATTAACATGTTATCATGGATATGCGTCGAGCGCGAGCGTAGTGGTGATTGTGGTGGTGGTGGGGGGGGGGACTCTAATA